TGGCGGCGCTGAGCGGCCTGGCGTCGGCGCTGGAGTCTTACAGGGGCCGGGACCGCCTGGTGAGGCTGGGGCGGAGCGCGGCCTGAGGCCCGGGAGTTGGGCCAAATCTCAGAGACCCGGAAACTGAGGCGAGAGGGGGGCGGGGTCGCAGAGGCCCTGTCCGAGGCAGGCTCCCACCCAGTCTCCTAGCGGTGGACATTTAGGACGTTCCGGCCAACCCATCGCGGCTGGACATTTATCGTAGTACCAACCAGATCCTCACGTTTGAGCTTTAGGATTCCGACCAGACCACTGAAGATGGCCACGGGGTTGTCCCAAACAGCCTCGTACGAGGACTTCGGATGTTGTGGGGCTCCCCCTTATGGCTGGAAATTTAGGTTGTGACCAAATTCCTTATAGTTGGTCATTTAGGTTGTTGCGGCCAAGTCAACCCGGATGGATATTTACGCGACAACCACATCCCCGTGTTTGGACATTTAGGTTCTGACTAGGCCACGGTAGTGGGTCCCTGAGATGTCCTGATTAATGTCCTGGGAACTTAGGGTTTTACAGGGGCTCCCCCTATTGGTGGGTGTTTAGGTTCCGACCATATCTCGGGTTGGGCATTTATGTTGTTCCATACAGGCCCCGGAAGTCAGATCCTCAGCCAGCCCCACCTAGTCTCATACAGAGAGTCATTTACGGTTGTTACAGGCAATCAGGTGGTTGGGCAGTTAGGTTCCAACCAAATCTCTTATGATTGGGAATTCAGGTTTTAACAACCACCCTGCCCCGCCCTAGTTGGACATTTAAATTGTAGCATTTTGCCATTACAAAGGGGTTGAACAGAAGTTACAAATAAAAATAACATATAAAACCGGGAAAAGCAATTTCTGAAAAGCAGATGAAATAAAGATAGAAGGGTGATTAAGCTAACTCAGTTCACGATGCCCCAAATCACCCACTGAGTGGGTTCCTTCTCATTAAAATAATTCAAGCCAATTATCCTTTTGTCCACTGGCCCGATCACGTCCGTATTCCCTAGCCCAGCCATGGGCTTAAGTACAGCCAGGTTGATGCAAATATACATTTCTGCCCTGTCTTCCTGCCTGCTGAGAAAAAGCCCCGGGAGGTGGAAAACGGGCTTTCGTTTTTTTTAATTAGAGGGTCTCCCTCCAAATGGGTTTTCATTTTCTTGTCCCCATCACATCTGCCTCCGAAGGCTGTGCCCTCGGTGACATGAAGCAGCACTCCCTTAGAGTCTCGAGCAGTGGTGTCATGCTTTTCCCTTTGTCCCACCTGCACTGTTTCTTTTTAAACTTTCAGCTTTTATGAAAATCTTGTTGATTTACACTCTTCCACTCGCTCATCCTACGAGGCCCATGGCCAGGTGACCCAGCTCAGTCTAGGAGCAGGGCCATGCTGATGGCTTTTGCTTTCCCACAGATCCGAACGCTGGGGTACTGCTGCCAGCTGGTCGGTGGGGCCCTGGTGGAACAATGTCCGGCCAGGTCAGAAGTGGGGACGCGCCTGCTGGTGCTGTCCTCCCAACTCAACCACTGCAGGACCATCCTTCGACTCTTCGATGACTTGGCCATGTTTATGTACACTAAGCAGTATGGCCTGGGGGCAGAGGTAATGGGGTGCCTAGGCCCGTAGGGGAGGGAGTGCAGACTCTGGGAAGCTGGGGTTTGATGGACTTGTCTAAAGGCAACTGCGTGGGCAGTTTGTTATTTTTTTCGATTTATTTGCTTTTTTGAGATGAGCAGATTTTCTTATTTTAATCGAAAATTTAAAAAGTAGCTAATACGTTTGCTCGTTCTCAGAGTATATCATTAAAAAATCTCTCTCCTTCCTTTTCCCCTGGGCCCCAGTTTTCTTCCTCAGGGGCAGCCGCTGTTGACAGCTTCTTGCGTTTCCTTCCTGAGATCTTCTGTACCCGCACAGGCTCGTACACGTCGTTTACATAAACAGTTGTGTGCCACTGACACTCTTCGGCCACTTGATTCTTTCACTTAACAGTACAACTCGGAGCGCATTCCATATCAGCCCAAAAAGAGTTCCTTCCTTCTCAATGGCCACAGAACACTGCTGTATATAGTAGGACAGTGATTTATCTGACTGAGCCTCTCTCGATGGACATGTAGGTTATTTACAGCATTTTGCTGTTCAGCAGTACTGCATCATTCCACACCAGCGCCCGTAGATCTGTGCTCCCCACTCAGGGGTCAGCTTGTCCCCGCCAGGGGATGTTTTCCCAGGGGATGGGCTGACGAGCTGCCCTGGGGCTGCCTTGCCCTCTCTCCTGCCCTCTCAGGGGTCCCCCTCAGTGCTCAGATGCTGTCCCGTTCTGCCCCAGCGCTCGTGGCCTGATCATCCCAGGTCTCCCGTGTTTTCCTGGACCTTCCTCCAGTTTCAACACCCGTTTCCTGTCCTCTTCTTTGGTTAGGGCACGCTTCCTGTGCATCCCTGGAGGACCCCCTACCCCAAACATCTCTGTGAGGACTCCTTCGAGTCCCCAGGCAAGGGGTGGGGGCCTCTGCACCTCGTATATCCCTTGGCCAGAACAAGAGTTGGTCCTGTGTCTGTGTGTCTGGGTTCCTTCTGTCTCCGTGAGCATGTCCATCTCCCCATGTAGGCCGAGGACCACTCTGCTTCTCAGGAAATGTAAAGGGAATGAGCACACTGGGGTAGGGGTTGTCCTCATGGAGAGGGGGAATGTGCCAGAATGCACCAGAAGGACCCAGGCAGGATGGGGGAGGCGGAGTGGGATTCAGAACCCCAGTAAGGCAGGATCATGGCTGGCCAGAAGGAAGGAGGGGCACAGTGTCACAAAGCATTGATGGGGGTAGAGATGGGGTTCCTGGGAAGACGGAGAGGAGGACAGGGTATGGCAGGCAGCAAGGATGATGAGGGTAAAGACAGAGAAGTGAAGTGACTCCAGCGTGGTGACCTTTAGGGGGTCTGGCCTCGAGGGGGCAGGGCTGGGAATACAGCCTCAGGGACCAGGCTCCTGTGGCCTGGTTGGGTGCAGGCGGTCCGGTTTAGAACTCAGGGTTTGAAGGCGTAGGTATAGTGCAGGACAGAAGGCCCTGGGGGTATCTGCAGTGTGGCGGCCTGAGGCCTGTCCCTAAGCACCTTGGTTTCCCTGTTTGTAGGGAAGATGACCACCCCTCTCTGCAGCTGTGCAGCATGGGACAGCCAGGTGTCCCCCTCCCCACTGCCTAGTCAGGCTTCTCTGCGGGCCAGCCTGCCCTGCTCCCCTCTCAGGGTCCTGCGCCAGAGCGGCTGGCCTGGAGACCCCCGGCGGGATCTGGAGCCTGTGGTGGGGCAGGAGGCTGTGAGGCAGGGCGTTGAAGCTGTCCTACAAGGGAATCATCTGGGAACTTAAAAAATTTAAAGCTTAGTTTTTGGCATGGCTTGGGCCCCTAATTTGGGCAGTGGGTGGGTCCCACCCCGGGCCCATGCCCCTCTCCTGGCCCTGCAGGAGGAAGATGTCTTTGTCCGCTGTGTATCTGTCCTGGGTAACCTGGCTGACCAGCTGTACTACCCCTGTGAGCATGTCGCCTGGGCTGCCGACGCCAAGATCCTCCGTGTGGACTCTGCCTGGTGGTGGACACTGAGCACAGCCTTCTGGGGCCTGTCCCTGCTCCTGGGGATTGCCAGGTAAGCAGCGCGCTGCTCGCCAGCCCCTGGGAGACAGCGCCAGAGGTGCTCGGGGGTCGGCAGACGGCGGGTCTGTGCCGCTGCTCCTTTTCCTCCTGCCATCGCCACCTCTCTGTGTCCGTCTCCTGTGGCTGCTGCAGCAGATGCCCACAGCCCTGGTGGCTTCAGACAACGTGAGTGGATTATCTCACAGTTCTGGAGGTCAGAAGTCCAAAATGGATCTCCCTGGGCTAAAATCAAGGTGTGGGCCGGGCCGTGATCCTTCTGGAGGCTCCTTGCCTTTTCCAGCTCATAGAACTCCCTCCTGCATTCCTGGGCTGGTGGCCTCTTTCCCCATCTCCTAAGCTCATCGCTCCGGCCTCTGCTTTATCGTTACGTCTCCTTCTCTGACTCTGACCCTCCTGCCTCCCTCTTATGAGGACCCTTGTGATGACGTTGGGCCCATCCAGATAACGCCCCATCTCAAGGCCCTTAAGTCAGTGCCATCTGCAAAGTCCTGTCATGGAAGGGTCCTGGGGATGAGGGCAGGGACATCTTTGGGGGCTATGATTCTGGATCCAGGAAGAAGAAATAACTCCGTGGCCTGGATAGAAGTGGCTGCCTTTACCCGGGTCCCTGAGTCCTGCTTGCATTGTCGTCAACAAACATCCCTAGATAAAACAGCCAGGAGTTTCCTGACTGGCTCCGTGCTTCTTAAAACTGTAAGGTTTCCAGAACTTTAATGGTTTCCTCTTGAACATTTTCCTCTGCAAATTTGCGAGTGGGTTTGTTCAGAGTCCCCTGCCCCAGAAAGCACACGCAGAGCAGGGCCTCCCGTGGCCAAGTTTCATGGCCCCGAAGGGTTCTCGGATCCCTGATGGGTAGCCCCTGACCTCGGGGGTGGGCAGTGACCGTGTCTGCTGTCACTTGTCCCTGGGCAAGACACTCATGTCCAGTAGCCCTTGTTTTTCCCTGTTACAGACACTGTGATTTTACACTTATCGTAGACAGTACGGAAACTGAGCAAACCTAAAATGGATGATTCAGATCACCCATGATCCATCGATCCCCTCCCCATGCTCTGTGACCCTTTTAAGCCTTTGATCTTACACTCTGCCGACACGTTTTTACTCACCTTTGATCTCGTTTCACGGATGCGGCTCCTTGATCTGGGCTCTCCTCGTGGTCACGGACAGTCACTGTCACTGTCGCTATGTCTGTGGAGCTTCCCCTGTCTCCTCTTGGCATTGACCTTCCCCGTGTGCTCCGGGTCTCTGGCAGAGGCCTGGCTGGGCTCTAGATGCTCCTGAAGCTGCAGTTCCCGGGGTGTCCCTGACTCACGGCCTCTCCTCAGAGTGCCTTGTGACCCCTGATCCCAAGAGACCTACCATTCCTGTTTTAGGGACACCCTTGGTTCCATTCATTTTCAAAAAATAGACTTTATATTTCTCAGCAGTTTTTAGGTCCACAGCAAAATTGACTGAAAGTAGAGTTTCCATGCACGCCTGCCCCCGCTCCTCAGCGTCCCCCGCTACAGACATGGTGCCACAATCGAACCTCCATTGACACATCTTCACCCCAAGTCCATGGTCTACATTAGAGGTCACTCTCTGTGTTACACATTTTGTGGATTTGGATAAAGGTATAATGACATGTATCCACCACTGTACTGTCATCCATTGTGTTTTCATGGCTCTAAAAGTCCGCTGTGCTCTGCCTGTTGTTCCACTCATTTTTAGAGCGTGTCATTTTCCCGCCATTTCTCTGTATTTGGTGTGGACGATGAGGTGGGGGTTGGGGAGCGTTGATATGTGCTGGTCATGATCAGGTGTCCTTAGACTTCAGTGTGCTGGAGAGTGACCTGGGAGATTGTTAAAATGCAGAGGTCGGGGCCAGGCACCCAGAGGCTCTGAGTCCATAGGTCTGGTGGCCCAGGAATCATCATTTTCCCCTAGTGCCCCAGGTGGCTGTGATGCAGACACACTTACTTCACTGCAGGTGCTTCCCAGTGTCCTGTACTCTCTGGGGACATGTCACTTGGATGGGTACATGGTGGCTGGGGAGAGGTGACCAGTCCTTGGACCTCCCAGCTGGGGAGTCTCGCTGGGGTCAGCCCTCCAGCGGGCAGGGCTCAGCACATTCGTGCACCTGCCCACCCCACAGCCCAGGCTGCAGGGTGCAGGGGCCAGGTGGGGCAGCCCGGGTGGGCGCCCTGCAGGGCCCTAGAGTCCCCAGGGAGCACAGCCGGCTGCTTCCTCAGCCTGCGACGCTGGCCCTCGGGCCCAGAGGGTTGTCAGACTCACTTCAGATGGTCAGTCGGAGCCACTTGTTGGACAGCTTGGCACCCGTTACAGGGAACCTGTGGCTGCAATGGCAAGAGGAGGCAGGTGGCAGAGCCTCCTCTCGACCTGGTGTTGGCGATCAAAGCCCTGTGCGCCCCCCGCTTCTCTGCCCCGTCCGGCGGCGTGTCCTCCGATCCTCTCTTGTGTCGCAGGTCCTTGTGGATGGTCGCGAAGCTGAGAAAGCAGCTGAGGAGCCCTATGGCCGCCTTCACCAGGTACGTCTGGGGTTTTGTCTCGGAAAAAGGCCGACTTCCCCTCCTGCCAGCTGGGGCCCCAGCGGGTTTCCCCCACTGGGGAGGTGCTCAGCGTCACCATCGGTTATCGGCCCTGCCTGTGTGCAGGGCCCGTGCTGGGCCGTGATGGGCGCGCGGTCACTGGGCCTCACAGCAGTCTCCAGGTGGCTGGTAGTACTCTAACCGATGGGGAAACTGAGGCTCACTTGAAGTCCCAGAAGCAGGAAACAGCCAGGATTCCAGGGCGGAGCCTTCACGGCCATGTCCCCAGGGCAGAGCGTGATAGGAGATGGAGTCAGTTTCCTGAGGTCCATGGTCACTGTCACTGTGTCATCCTGGGGAAGAACTGTGCCCGGCGCAGGCCTGGAACCTACCCACTGGCGGCCTCCAGCCCACCTTTCTGGCCGATTCCAGGGGTTGGGAGGGCTGAGGTATGGATTTGAGACTTTCCATGCTGGTCCATGTCCTGTTCACGCTGTGGGCTCCCTTTGTGTGTGTGGGGGGAGGTGACAGGGACCCCTTGTTCACGAGCAGGTCTGTGGTCACTCCTTGCCCTGTGGTGCGGGTGAGCACAGGCACACCGGGCCTTCCCCAGCATCTCCTCTTTGCTCCCACAGCCGGCTGCCCCGGAGCAAGTGGAGGGCAGTGGAGGCCCAGATCCAGTCGGAGGTGCTGACTCTCCTGAGCAACCTGGCCGACCTGGCCAACGCCGTGCACTGGCTGCCCCCAGGAGTCCTGTGGGCTGGCCGCTTCCCCCCGTGGGTGGTGGGCCTCCTGGGCACTGTGTCCTCCCTCCTCAGTGTGTACCAGGCAGTCCGGGCTGGTGGCCGGGCTGATGCCACCACCCCCTGATGCGGCCCGGGGGTGTGTGGATGCAGCTGGAACCCTAATGAAGGCCCTTTCCCGCAGAGCAGAAGTCACGCAGGCAGGGGGCTGGGTCTCTAACTGGGCAAATCAAGGCCAGGTGTGGGGAGATGCAACCCAGAGAACTCACAGAGCAGCTTGGGGTGCAAGCGCATGGTGGGGTGGGGTATGGGGCGTGGGTCATCCCCCAGGCGCTGGGGGAAGGGGCCTTCCCACTCAGGCCCCGCATGCTGAGGCCTCAGCTGGGCCTCGCTTTGTTCCCTAGCATCATCCTGTATTCAGATAAAGACAACCAGGGGGCCAGGATGGTGAGTGCCAAGTGGGCCTTAGGAAAGCTGAAATGAGAATCAATTAAATATGTGGTGCTGGTGCCAGGCCCAGGTGTGGTTCCTTTTCCCTAAACTCAACGGTTCCTGGTCCCTCCCGTCCATAGGCCCGCTCACCCCCATGCCCTCTCTTGTGCCCTCTGTCTATTTTAGGGAGGGCGGCAGGTATGCCTGGGGGTGTTTCTCTTGGGATGGGGCCACAGTGGGACACCACACCTCCCCAGCCTGCCTTCTGGGACATCCTTGGGCAGTAGGTCCTCTCTAACTCTGCTGCCCACGAGCGGCCTTTAGCTACGGAGGACAGTTCACTATCCCGAAGTCATGGGCACCTGGCTGCCGATGCTGCCTCCCACCAGGCCATGTCTGTGTCTCATCCTTTATCCCGAAGTCATGGGCACCTGGCTGCTGATGCTGCCTCCCACCAGGCCATGTCTGTGTCTCATCCTTCTGGAATTTACAGGCTGCTTGTCGTGGCCAAAGCAGCTGACACTCAGCCATAGCTCGGACCAAGGTTGTCATCCATTCGGGGTGGGTCTGAGCATCTCGTGGGCTCTGAGCTGGGGCCAGGCTGCATGGGCTAGTGTCTGAAGATGCACGGCTCCTGTCTCCTACCTCATGGCGATCGTGGCAGGATGGGATGTCTGTTTTCAGATGGAGAGGCTGCATATGTGTGGCCACGGTAGATGATGGGCAGCCCACGCCTGCCTATCACTGTTGATGTGTCCTTGAACCTACCCGAGTGCCAGTGGAAGAATGGAGGGAATCGGGCTATGCCTTATGTCCCCCAGGCGCTGGGAAGATCCAACAAGGCATCAGTGTTTGCAGTCCCTGAAGCCTCGTGTGATTTCAACCACGGCTGGTTCTTTTCCAGGGAGGATAGGTGGCTGGGAACAGCTGAGATGGAGGGTTGCTCAGGGTAACACGGAGTGCAAGAGACCCCACTCTGCCCTTGGCCAAAGCATCCTGTGGACTAGGGTTAGGGGCCAGGGTAGGTCAGTCTCCCCTCCCCTCTTGCAAAGTGGGGGGCCCCCTTCCCAGAGCGAAGGGCACCAGCGAGATTAGGGTGGGGGTCAGAGCCTCACTTGCCTGCCTATGTGGAGACTCAGAGTGAACATCTGTAAGGCACACAAAGCAGAATGTCTGTGAAGTCATGTGAACACTTAAATAAATATGTGATGCGTCACATCACAGGTCCCCCAAAAGGCGGGGGTACCTCTGGGCAGAGCTGGGTGCCAGGGGTCTGGCTGCAGCTTCCAGGCAGTCAGGGTTGGCCTCATGGCAGCGCTGGGGCCACAGCTGCCTGGGTTCACTGCTGGGTGGCTGCAGCGACTCTGCCTGTGTGTCCGCATGCCTGCCCGCTGCCCGTCCTGGGCCAGCAAGATGCAGGGGAAACATCCGCCACAAACTTGGCTCGCTCAGGGAGCAGGGGGCTGACATCCCGGGACCCTAGGGGCAGGCCTGACCGGGGGCGGGAGGCGCCCAGCCAGAGCAGGACTTGGTGGCATTGCCTGCATGCTGACCTTGACTGGGCCCCTGCCTCCAGCTTTCAATGTCCAGATGTTATCACCAAGGGCTTCCTCAGAGGGCACCAGAGCAGGCGAATGGGCCTTGGGTCCTCAGTGCAGTCTCCCGGCAGATCCCACCACTCACGACAGGCCTGGCGTATAGGCAGCTGGTCACGGCTAGCAGCACCGAGGCTTTGTCACTTGCCCAGGTGTCCTCGTCTCCCTGCATTCCTTACCCGTCACAGGGCAGGAGTAGCGTGGTCACTCCCCCACTGGCCTGATGCTTGCACCCAGCAGGAGAGGTGACAGCAGCTAAGGGGCCTTCTATGGTATCCCGGGCCTGCGGGAAGGGGTGGGACGTCACAGCCTGGTTGTCACAGGCCCCGGTTCTCAGGCTCCCTGATCTGTATTCAGGCCTCCCTGAGGTCTTATTGCAGCAGATACTCCAAGGGGGCCCTGCCAGGTGGGGTGAGCCTTGGGGAGCCCCCACCATTACAGCACGGATGTTTGGGTAGATGATCCTACAATAAAACCCTAAAGAACAGCTACTCCCGTCAGCTCATCTTAAGACACTTTTATTGCTAGAATCAGGTCTTAAGTTCTAACGTGGTTCTGAAATATCCCGCACGAGGAAATGCTGCAATCATCGTAACAATAATTCTCAGGTGGACTAAGATCATGGTCGCAATTAACGAAGATGTGCAGATCCCACAGGAATAAGAACATTTGCTTGGCCACCAACTTTACAAAGAAAATTGGTACCCAGAAGTGACCACCCGGTGCTGGCCAGAGGATGTGCTGATGACCTGCCCTCCGTGTGGCGTGACTGGAGACTCCCTCGGCTGTGGGGCAGGGAGTGCCGATTCCCACCACGAGGCCAAGGGGAAATCCTTTGGGCTCATCATCCGAGGAACTGTGGCATCCTGGAGGGTCGGCGCAGAGCACGTGGACAGGGGGTGCACGGCCTCGAGATCACCCAGCACAGAGGGCCCAGGAATGTTCTCTTCATATAGGGCAGGAAGGTAAAGTCAACTTTTCTAAAGTGCTCTCATTCATCTCAGTACAAAAACACAAAACACTAATTACAGACATGGCACAGAGGAGCTCCGACGTGTCACAGGGCTGAGGTGGGCGCTTCTTGCTCCTCAACGATGCTGCAGGCCCTCTGGACGAAGGCAAAGGGTCGGGGGAGAGGTTCTTGTCATGGAAGGCGGGGGCGGGGACTGGGAGACAAGGATGGGGACGCCTCATCATTCTGTGCTTGGGAGATTCCTAACTGCTGCTTTCAGTTCCTTGTCACCAACTGGCTGTGTCACCTCGACCCTGCGGTGCCCTTGCTCCGGGGCAGCCTAGGACCCAGTCCCCTCCTGCCAACACTTCGGGAGGTGCTGGGCTCTGGGCCCAGTGTGGCGAGCCCAGGGTGCAGAAAAGGCTGGAATGTCCCCCCTTTCCCACTCTGGCACTCACTCTTGAGTTTAGCCAGAGCTGAAACACGAATGTGACCCAATTGCTACCCTGGACATGCGACACCATCCCCACCATCTACAGCCATGCAGCTGGCCTGGTGGCCCTTGCCCTCCTCCAGGGGGAAGTTGACAGCTACAAAAGCTCACTGGATACGTGGCGCCTGTGAAGTGGCCATCTGCCCATTTGAGGCTTCTGGGCCACATGGCTCCGTCCAGCGTGTCACCCTCAACGGCCTGATGTGGTGGCCCTGCTGCTGTGCTCCGCACTGTCCCGGCACCTACAGATCATCAGCACAGGACAGCAGCCCTGGGTCCCAGCAGCCCCAGGAAAAGTGGCCCATCTCACGGGGACCGAGGACCTGGCCTGGGGCTGGGAACTTTGGGTGTGTGCTGGCTGAAGCTCTAGGTTTGGCCATGCACTGGGAGGAGCATGCCGAGTCGGTGAGGCACCTTGGGAAAGTGCCAAGTTGGACAACAGATTTTAAAAACCTCCACCAAACTAAAATGAGTTATAAGCGGACGCTTTTGAGTCCAGCTTTTAACCCTATAGAACCTGCCTGGAGTGCCATCGGCCATGCTCCCCAGCTATTCTGCCCTGTGGCCCTCTATCCCCAGGTAGGCTGCTGTCTCCCTTGTCTGAGCCCATGCCCTGGCCTTGAGTTCACCATGAACCCAGGCGGATCTCTGCTCTGATCCTGCCGACAGACACAACTGACACCACCTGGCCCCTCCTGGTGCCCTAATGACATGCTCCAGCTCCGGCATCTCCTAGTGGCTGTGGAGCCGGCCTGGTGCCAGCACCTTCTTCTCAGACTGGGGTCTGGCCTGTCATCAGGCTCCATGTGGAAACACCCTCATTTGTCTCTACCTTGGACAAATGGCTTGGAGTTGATCTCTCCCTGCCCAAATGGGCTGCTACAATTTCAAACGGCTCCTGGGTAGCTCTGGTTCAACCTTCAATTAAAAACTTTCCTTTTTGTATACACATAAAAAAGAGGTTTAGAAAGTTACCCAGGCACCACTGCAAATCCTACAGAAAAAGCCGATGACAGGCCAGCCCCAACCTTGACGAACCCCAGCCAGGCAGCTGTCCATGGTGGTTTGCTGGGCAGGGAAGAGGGACCGCTGGGAAACTCCCCAATGAGCACAGAGGGTGGGCAGGGCAGGGAGGGGTCTGCACCTCGTGCCATGCCCCCTAGAAGAAGATGACGTCTTCCTTGCTGGCATCTTCCTTGTTGAGTGGTGTGGGGGTCAGTGGCATGGGCGGAGAGGGTGTGCTCCCAGCCTTGAGGGGAACGCACTCAGGGAACACGTCAGCTGGGCCTGGGCTCGGGGCCTGGCAGGAGGGGTCTGGAAGAGAGGGGCACGGGGTGTCAGGAGTCTCCAGGCACCGTGGGCGGCCCCACTGCCCAGGCGGCTGGGCTCACCTCGGGGGGATGCGGAGCTATGGCTGCCAAGCTGGACGGGGCTCAGCGAGCGGCGGTTCCGAGAGGCGTTCTCGTCCTTGCCCATGAGTTTGTTGAGAAGCAGCTGCTGTTTCAAGTCAAATGAGGCTGAAGGAGGGAGGAGGGTGCAACTTGGGGTGCTTGGCCTTGCTCCAGGCACATAGCGGACCCCTACCTCGGCCACAGTCCTGTACCACGCCTCAGCACTTCCCATGGCACCCGTGTCCACGGACAAACCCGCTCGGGCAGTAAGCCCCAAATACGCTGACACCAAAACAGGGAAAACAGCCCCCAGCCGACCCCAGAGGGCTCCTAGAGTACCTCAACCTCTGGACCTAGTGGTCCTGGGACACAGGCCATGCTCCTCAGGAACCTCCCGGGGAGGGCGCCCCCTGCTGGCACACTCACCGTGCCCAAGGGAGCCCTTGAGCTTTTCTACCATGGGACCATCCACTGCAGGGTGCTCTGGGGCAAGAGCCTAATGTCCCCTTCGTGGAAAGACACAGGGTAGAGCCCCTGGCACCTCGGTTGGCACCGGGTGGAGAGCACTAGCACCTGTCACCGTGCCATCCCTAAGTGCCTGAGGTTCTGACTTCTTGCCTCTGGTGACCACCCCCACAAGACACTCCCTGGCCCCGTTCCTGTGTGAGGAATGAGGTGGGAAAAAAGACCTGGGCTCTCTCATGTCGATTTTGCTTCTTGAGATGGAAGACCTCCATGTGGAAGGTGGAGTGGCGGCCTCAGCCATGTTGCCAGCTGTGCCTTCTGGTTCCCCCTGGCGCCCCCACCGAAGGATCGCCCTGGGGTCCTGTTTTTGTTTGCCTATAAGCAGCTGCTCTGGTGTCACAAACTGCCTATGACTGGACCTCCCCACCCAGGATGAGGGGCTGGGCAGGCACCGGAGGTCACTGATCTCCCAGAGCTCACTCACTCCTGACGGGGCTCAGCCCCCTGCCCCGCCCCAGAGCAGGACTCACTCGAGCTCTCACTGCGCTGGGAGCCCCTGCTCTTGCCGCCCTTGTCCTTGCCGCCCTTGGTGCAGGCGGCCAGCTTGGTGGGGATCTGCTGTTGCACGGCCGCCTGCCTCTGGATCTGGTTGGTGGCGCTGAGCAGCTGGATGGGCACGTCGCTCTTTGCCGGCCGGCTCTCAGCTGGGGCGCTGTCCCGGCGAGCCACCTCGGGGCGCTCGGGGTACTCGGGTCCAGTGGTGGACAGCAGCACGCTCCCCCGGGGCCCCAGGCCTTTGGCGAGGGCAGCAGGCCCTTCCAGCCCTTCCCCGTTGAAGCTGGGGGGGTGGCTTGGGGGCTGGGCCTAAAAGAGGGATAGAAGTCACATCTGGGTGGTGGCTCCTCCTGCAAGGCCCCCCTCCCCGGGCCCACAGGGAGCACTCTTCCTAGCACCACCCACCGGGCTCCTGGCCTCTCGGCCTCTCAGCTGGGGCAGGGGTGTGATCTGGGGACAGAGCCTGGTGCTGCCTGAAAGAGATGCCATTTGTTGCCGGTCACACCGACACACACGACCATGCTTGCACCCCCACGTGCACATGCATGGTTACACTCACAGATTCTCACGCCCACACACGTGCTTCTGCAGTGCGCCCACGCCGACAGACCACTCTCCCGTGCTCACCTCCGCGGGCATCTCGGGTGGCAGCGCTCCGGGGGCCGTGTTCTGCTTCTTGAGCCGCCGCAGCAGCTCCAGCCGCTCGCGCTCACGCTCCACCGCACGCTGGGCCTCGCGCAGCCGCTCCAGGTCGTGCTGGTAGGCCTGGCGCTGCTGCTCCAGCTCGGCGCGCTCCTGGCTCAGCCGCTCCTGCAGCTGCACCACCTCGCTCTGGCGCTGCTGCAGCCGGGCTGAGGCCAGGTCCAGCTCCTGCTGCTGGCGCGCCCGCTCGCGCTCCCAGCGCTGCTGCTCCAGCCGCAGCTGGCTCTGCAGCTTCTGCACGCCCGCCAGCTCCTCCCGCTGCTTCTCGAAGTTGCGCTGCCGCTCCTGCTCTAGCAGCAGGTTTCCGCGTGTTGACTGAAGCCGGAACTGCTTCTCACGCTCCTGGATGGCAGCCCTCTGCATCTCCACGTAGCTGTCCTGCTGGGCGATGACCGCCTGGGGGAGGGGGCTGGTGAGTGGCTATGCTCCCCGCCCCCCGCCCCAGATCCCAACCTCAGCAAGGAGAAGGGCAGTGCAGCCTGTCACCCCCCTCCAAGCCCCTGTACCTGGAGGCTGAGGAGCAGCTGGGACAATGTCTGGATCCGCTGGACAAGCTGTGGAGAGGGGGAAAGAGACATGCTTGTTCTCTGCCTGCAGCTTTATCAGGTGTGCATGCCAGTCCCCGGGGAGATGGACAAGCCCGAGCCTACCTCCGACTCCAGGATGGTGGGCAGACGGGGGCCCGGCTCGGCGCCCAGAGCCTCTGCCTGTGGAGACAAGCGTCAAAGCAGAGTTTCTAAGGGCCAATCCAACACAAGTGAGACCAGACACTCCCTTGGCACGGGACAGGTCCCGTCTGGTCATGTGACTTGTGTGAGTCTTGGTGTCTAAAAAATGAGGCTGCAGGTGGCTCCAGAAGGTGAGAGGGCAGCTGTCATGGGCCCAACCGTGTGGGAGGCCTGGAGGTTAGGTGGGCCCGGACAGAGCGACGGTTACAGGCAGCCAGCCTTGGACTCTAGCCCACCTCCCGGCCCTGCTCGACCCTGGAGCCTGGTAAGGCGGAGACTTTTGCGTCAAAGGGGAGGAAGCAGCCAGCATGACTTTGGCATCCGTGGGTACGGAGACAACGAAAGCTTGTGGTCTCTATATGGTGTTTCTCCCGTTGATGAGGCCATGGCTTCTGCCCTGAGCTCGTCCCCTCCCTGGCCTCCCACCATTCCTGGGGCCTGCAGGGAGAAACATGGAGGCTCTCCTGCCTGTACATTAGCCTGGGACACGAAGGGCACTTGTTGCTATTTGCCACAAGACAGAAAGACTGGACGACCAGAATGCACGCTGTTTACACTTGCAAAGGACAATTAACAGAACCTGACCTGACTCTGTACTGAGCTCAGGAATGTCCAAAGCAACGTACCGTCTGTGTTGCTTCCTCAGGAGCCCCGGAGGTGTCGCCGAGCCTCGCATCTGGGCTGCTCATGGGGTCCTGCCAGTCTTGGGGACTGGGGTCAATGCTGCCCATCTTCTTCTTAAAACTGCCATCTGAAACCCCAAGCCAAGCATGTGAGGATGCTGAGGTCCCACAGGGGTCTATAAGCCCTACCCCAGCCTGGGTAGGAAATTGTGGCTGGGCTGCTGGTGGCATTTGCGGCACAGATATCAGCAAGAGCGGGTCAAAACATGACCAGCACTTGGAAGGTTCCGGAACCCTGACCACGAAGAGTTTACAGAGACTGAAGGGAAACAGCAGGAGGGGTGCCAGACGGCAAATGCCCGGCTTTGTCCAGGATGCTGCGGGGGGAAATCGGAAGGAACTGAACCTCTGGCTGCTGACCCTCCCCAGGAGCCCCGCCCCGGGTGGGTGCACCACTCACTCTTGCCAGGGACGCTGGCGCTGTCGTGGCCCCCAAAAGTCTCTGCCCTGTGGCGCAGGCCCGTGGAGCCGCCCCCGTCTCCTGCCTGGCTGTCGGTGCTGCCCAGTCTCCTGCAGATCAGGCTCTGGATGTCCTCGACTACAGAAAAAGACAGGAGGGACCCAGTTACCCCCAGAGCCACGCCGACGGTGTAGGTGTGGTGGGGCCCAGGCGGAGGTCTGTGGGGCATTGGTCACCCATTCCCAATTGCCTGACATGGGAACTCAGCCCCACTGAGCCTGTGTGCTCCCTGCACAGGTACTGCCACCAGGACAGGCCAATCTGAGTTTATAGGAGGCCAGCTCGTGGGGCAGCACATAGACAGGGCGTCCCAGGCCCTGGGCCTGAGTATGTGCTGGGTCTAGTAGGGAACTCGGTGTGGCCATTGCTTATGTGACAACAGTCATACAGAATGTCGGGGGCCATGGGCGGGCATCCTTGGGGACAGGGCTGGTCACACAAAGTGCTCTAAGACAGTCAGGCTTTGGCCAGGTGAGGAGATAGGGAGAACATTCCAGGCTGAGGCACAGGACATGAGAGGACCTCAGGGGCCAAGGACAATGGCCAAATGGGAGAAATGGGAGGAAGGACGCCGCTGTGGCTAGGGGAAGCAAGGCTGAGTGGGGACAGAGTCTACGTGGGTCCCCTCTGCTCTGTTCTCTTCACTCTGAAGGAAAGCTCTGGAGGCAGGGCTGTCTTGTTCGCTGCTGAAAGAGGGGTGCTGATGTCCCCCCGAATAAGCAGAGGCTGCCTGGCCTGACACGTGCCCTGACCAGCACGGCGCTCAGCAGCTGCATGGAGGCTGCCAGGGGCTCTGGTGTGTGAAGTGGGCTTGACAGGGTGCACACGGGGTGGGCAGGCCACCTACCGGCCGGCACCCTCCTGGGGCTGCTGGTGCATCTTCCCGCTAGATGTGGGGTTCAGGCCCAGGGCTGCTCCAGGGAGGGCTGCTGGGTCCAGCAGGCCTCTAACGACCCACCAAATGTGTACGTGTGCCTTTTTCTAGATATAGCATCAGTAACACACTTCTTAGAAAGAGAGGAAGCACCTCAATGTGGGGAACACATTCTCCTTTACGTCTTGGGGGCCGGCGTGGTGCCTTGCACACAGCAGGCCCTGGGAAGTGTTTGTCGACTGTGAGAGAAGGTGCTCTATATCTGGAACGAGGGGGACACACCGGCTTGTGTCTAAGGACCCTCTGGCTCTGGTCGGCGCCAGGGCACGGGCCGCGCTGCTCCGGCTGCCCACTGGACAGAAGTGTGACCTGAATAGGGGGTGAGTCGGCCACCCTGGGCTGTGTGCCTAGCCTGGAGCCCCTCGAGGCCACCCAGGAAGGGCTGTGGCTTGGGAGGGGGGCAGCACCCCATGAAGACCCTGGGGCGAGGTGACTCACTCTCGGTCATGGCCGACTTGAGGATCAGCTCCCCTTGCAGGTTCTCCGGGGCGTCCCCTCCTCGGAAGAGGAGTCGTGGCTGAGGCACGTCTTCCAGCCCACTCATCTCGGCCATCTCCAGGTAGATGTGCTGCTTCTCGCTGAGGCTCTGAGCAATCTGCTGGTCTTTCACATTCAGTCGCTCTGCAAAGCCAAGTGCCGGTGGCAGTCACTCTTGTGTGCCTGTTCTCCAGGAGCCGGTGCTGGGGGGGCCCTTGCAGGGCGGGGCTGGCCTCCCACGATCCCCGCTGACCCTACCTTCCTGAGATGCGAGGGCCTGGCCCTGCCTTCCTTCCGATGGCTTCCCCCAATCGTAAATCTCAAACCCAGCGGGGTGTGGTGAGACCCTAACAGGCCGATTTATTAGTTTAGGACAAACCGAGAGCCCTGAGACTTAGTTTTCTAATCCTGAAAGTCATCCTTCAGCCATTTAGGCTGAACTGCTTCTTACAAGTCTCCTGGTTTTATGCTTTGGCTGCTGTGATTATGACTTAGACTTTCTCACACGGGAGTGTTAAGTATAGCTCACCACATTCACTTAAATGACTGAAACTTCTTACTGGTTCCAATCACTTTCCACTAGATTTTATTGCAGGCGAATAATCATGTCATATACAAAAAACAATTCTGTCACTTCCCTTCCAACTACATCTTCCTTCTGTCTTCCCCCATATGACCTGGCTGGACTTTCCAGGAGGAAGATAATAATGAAGAGTGGGTGGACCTGTTCGGCTCCTGATTTTTCGTGGGGGTGTCCCTGACGTTCCACAGTTAAGGGTGAGTTCAGCTTTTGATCCAAGATGGAAAAGAATATCTCGATAAAGAAAATATTTCTGTATTTCTAACTCACTCAGAGTCTTGTTGGGATTGACTGACAAACGTACATTACTGTATGACGCTGTGGCATCCGTGCAGGACACATATTTCATTACCGTCCAGAGAAAACAAAGAGTTAGGATGGGATGAAATGAATAAATGAAGACTACGTTAGGATTATGCTTTCAGGGTGCACCCTTTCTTTTGAACATTTAAAAAAAATTTTCCCTTCTTTTTTTTATTTTTTACGCCTACAACATCTGGTCTTCCTAGTTGGTCTCCCCTCCAAGTACTAATCAGGCCCAACCCTGCTTAGCTTCCCAGATCAGACAGGATAGGGCTTGTTCAGGGTAGCATGGCAATAGACTTCTTTTGGACATTTTTATTAATACCTTCAAATGTGTACCTCCCCACAAAGAGAAGTAAAATACATACTACCTAATTCTATGTACTTATTGCTAATGTTACTCAACTGAAAATAATGCAGCTAGTGAGAGAGGAAAGCTGATTGAGACCATAAGCACTAGGAATTATGCTTGGCAATGACCTTGCTGAAGTCTCACAGGATTCTGTGAAAAGCGCAATGTGTTACATCTGCACATGGACTATTACTCAGCCATAAAAAAGGAAATTCTGACACCTACTACAATGTGGATAAATGTTGAAAATATCATGCTAAATGAAAAAAAGCCAGATGCAAAAGGACAAATATTTCATGAGTCCATTTATATGAGGTCCCTAGAATAGCCAAATTCGTAGAGATAGATGATAGATTAGGAGTCCCCAGCAGCTGAGGGAAGGACGGGGCGCGGCTGCCAATGGAGACGGGGTTTCTTTTTCGGGTGATGAAAATAGTCTAAAACTGACTGTGGTGCTGGGGTGACCGTGGTGATGGTCATGATACTGTGATGAGAGCCACTGCACAGGACACTTTAAATGGCTGAACTGTATGGTGCAAAGCTTAGAACCCCGGCCACAAAGCCAGGGCTGGCTGGGTCTCTCTGGCTCTAGCAGGAGGACCTATCGCGATGGGATGTGACTTGGAACTCCTCCCTGGGAAGGGAGCAGCGTGCGTGGCAAAGCAATTGTGTTTGGCAGGGGCTCAGGGGCCCTGAATGCCACCCTCGCCCCCTCCCACGCGCCCTCCAGCAGACCACTACTTCATGACAAGCCCCACTGCAAACACCCACAGAACTGCGGGACACGAGGCAGCCCCCGGCAAAATGCCTGGTCACGTGGGTGGTGATTTGCCCACTC